TAAATGTCTTGACCGGAAAACATGACACGTTTTTGGAGCGAGAGGAAGCATCCACGGTTCTCGTAATAAGAAGCTATGCACCTTATGCACCTTTATATCTGTGTTTATAGGTAGCCATTGAATCCGGAGTGCGTTTGAATTGTATTTGCCCATCCATTGTTCAAACTGACCTACTGAGGAAGTCGTTGGAAAGAGATCCATCTGTGAAACAATTCATTGATCAGCTTGGAAAACAAACGTAAGTTAGTAAACAAATAACAGACCCGGTTATTTGAAGAAAATAGAGATACATGCATTAAACATTCCAAAAGAATATTTGATATTTGTAAAATACTATATCAATCGCGCATGTATGTAATTTTATTTATTTATTTATTAACTTTACAACTAAACTAGTTCCAGGCCATCCCGCGTGACTGGATCGGTTTTGAACTGCGGGATAAATTCGTAAATAATCATTTTATGAAATTAAAATCTGGTCGTCACCGATGTCGTTCACGAGTTAAATTACTTAAGGTAAAAAGTACAGGTAAAAGGTAAAATTGAAACGTCATTGTTGCCATAGCAACGGCAACGGTAGTTGCGCAACTTTTGTGAAAAATTATAAGTAAGATGCTTTTTGTTTTTAATTTTCAACAGGTAGGCCTAATACTTGTCCAAAAATACGGATCTAGATATATCGCAAATTTTCTATTTTAAAAAAATTTATCAAGCCATCTTTCTACGTACTAAACATTTATTTTAAAATTCGCACTTTTAAACTTCTGTTTCAGTAAATGAAGTGTACACTGTAATATTCATTCACTATATGCGATAGTGTCGTATTTGGGCCGGCCAAGGAAAAATATGAGAGAGGTTGTTTAAGTAATTAAATTCCTAGTTTAAATTCCTAATTCATAAACATTTTCTCTCCTCAAATTTTCCAACAGGGTTGATGTGGTGGCAGAAGGTTTCATCCAACTTTTGAACGATGAAGATAAAGTCGGAGAGGCGATGAGAATCTCTGTTCAAAATAGAATTGATTATCACACATTTTCGGAACAAAATATCCCACTTTAACAAATTTTTAATTTTAATTTCAAGCAAATTAATTTCAACTATATCGTTATGTATCGATCAATTCGAAACTTCACCATCCCCCCCCCGGGCATACCCCGGGAATTTGACTTCAAGTCTTCTCCAGGGAGTAGGGAATTTGACGTTCTACGACGCCCTTTCTTCTCCCGCCCGCACTAAACGCCTGCTACGCAGGCTAAAGTCTTCCATGTGGTGGGGCATTTGATAACGGGGTGGGGAATTTGAACCGGAAGTCTTAAAATGTTGCCCGTTTTCGCGTGCTTCCTGATGCACAGAAAATACTTCGTAATGGCGGCAAATACAGTTTTCTCAGATTTCGAGGGAAACGGCCTCAATTTTGTGAAAAAACTGGCTCAAAGAAACGGGCATGGAAAATCTATGTGTTTCATTTGAAGGTATGTACTACATAACGTGTAAAACTGTTAAATTTCCACAAGGTATCCAAACTGTTTACGCGAATTTCGCTATCTTGTCGAAAACATTTCCGTATATTTTGTACTTTTTGTATTTACTGTTTCATAATTTTCATATGAAGGTGGGGCATTTGAACGCTTAATTTCTTGTTACAGTGGGGCATTTGAAGACATTTTTTGCACAGAGGGTGGAGAATTTGATCAGTCAAATTTCAAAAAGTTCAAATTCCCGGGGTCGGCCCGGGGGGGGATGGCGAAGTTTCGAATTGATCGATACATTACTCACTATATAATGTGCTTATTCAAAATTTGAATTGTTGGTTTTAACTAATATTTGGCGGCATTGAAATGAAATAATTTCAATATATAAAATCTCGCGCGCGCAAATTCAAATTTTAGCAGCCACATGTTCAGGCTAGTACAGCAACTGAGCAACAAGATAAAATGAAATAATAGGGTCGATGGACGTTATAATTATATGATATAAAGAGTAATAATACATACCTGAGATCAATAAGCCTTTAGCAAGACTTAGAGTCACTTATCCAATACTATTTATACCTTTTCTTGAGCGGAATATAGCTTTTCTTGAGCGAAATCAGTATCCAAACGAAAAAATCAAAAATTTGCAAATCACACTCGACACTTGATCATAGATTATAGATCATACCAGATGTCTCACTGTGTATATACCTCTATGATTTTCGTGTCCGCGATTTTCGCAAGGCTATCACGCCAGATGACGCGTGCGACACTTACTGCCAAAATGGCGCTTACTGCCAAAATGCGTGATTGCTCACGTTTCATGGCGTGGATTACACTTACTGCCAAAATGGCGGCCAATTCGTGCTCATAAAAAATCGCGGACACAATTTTGGCTGAGTGAGACATCTGGTATGATTTATAATCTATGACTTGATACGCGATATCCCACAACTCATTGCGCGCGTGGCACTTGTCTTCTAAAATAGATACGCCAAAAAGCGCTCCCTAGTTTTACAATCCATGGGATTTTAATTAAAGGATTTAAAGTAATATTAAACTTCATTTCAAGTTTTTTTCTGATTATAAGAATATTATTCTAGGTTGGAAAAATGTTATTCTTATAATAAGAAAAAAATTTGTCGAATGTTCAAATTCATGCCTTGTTCTCAAAACGAGATTTTTTTCTTGAAAGAAATAGTTAGGGACCGCTCATTATTTATTGTACAGGGGGGGATTGAGGAGAAACTGGGGGGGCCTTTAAATTTTTCAAAACCTGAAAGGGGGGGCTTTGAAAAATACAGAGAGACGAAAGAAGGGGGCTTTGAAAATATTTACCAGTTTGAAAAACATTAGTAGTTTTAAAAATGTATCACAAAACAACTGAACAACAAATAACAATATTTATAGACTTTAATATTCATAAATGGAAGTCAAATAAAAAGTCTCTCGTGTTCATGTAAATAGACAATTCCCATTATAGACTAATTTTAGAACTAGGCAAAGAGATGCAAATCAAGGCTGCATGCGAAAATTGCAAATTATACAAAAGAATACAAAATTTGCAAACTTTGGAAGGCTATATATTTTCTACATATTTTACAACATTTTGCAACCAAACTTTGGAATTTTACTAATTTTAGTATGCCCTTCCCGGGAATATACTTTTTTTGCTAAGATAAAAA